GAATAAACCAGCATCCTAACTTGTATGTTGCCATTTATTATGTAATGAAGATAAGATGGCAAAAATTTTATCTTTCCTTTTTTGGTTGCTACCAGATTGCTCAGGGTAAGTTTTATGATCAACTGCAGTGTTTTCTAGACTTTCTACATAATTATCCCCTACTGTTTTATTGCTTAACTCTTATCCTTATTTTAATGATTTTATCATATTTGTGCTTTTTATTATCTGAAGACTTAAATTCTTCTTGGAAGGAGGCCTAGTGTAAATAATAAATGAGAATATCAGGGCACCAGGTACCTGAGGAACATAGAAAACAAAGTCAACAGTGGATGCAAAAACATAAGAGAGAGAAAATGGAGGAGTAAAACACAGACTCACTTCATCATTTTTCCTTAAAAAATTTTTTCCCATTAAAAATCTATGCTCTCTAGGATTTTGCCTTCTAAGATGGTAAACCACAGGGCACACAATATTCTTACTATTCTTTTTAGTAAGTTCCTTTGCCTTTTATTTTAAAGATTTTGGAAACAAAGTAGAGAAAAATTACTAGACATAAATATATAGAAAGCAAAATTTAATAAGTAGTTAGTAGTATCTACTATGTACAAATACAATGCTAGACTGTGGGGTCCTCTTCCCATACAAATATTCTTAAAAGATTTCATTAAGAATTTGAAATTCATCTCAAAGGAAAGAAAAATAAGACAGGGGGAAGTCTGCTAGATAAATGGTAAGAGTTATCATAGTGAAGAAAACATTAGGGGTTTTGTTACCCATTCAAGAGGCCATTGATATGCGAAGGAAACAAATAACATTCTTAGAAATACTATTGGTCAGAAAAAAGACCCTATTTGTACTCTTCCTTAAAAACTTACTGAAAGATAAATTCTTATGAAGCAAGAGGTTAATAAAGAGTCTAAGAAAAGAGAAGTTGTGATATTAAAAGAACAGAATAGTTTATGATGCCATGTAACACTATAAAAAATTAAAATAATTGCTGTAAGCAATATATCAAAGTTGAATGCAAAAACATTAATTTGAAATGCATCAAAAATAAGATGAATTAACAGATGGACAAATACACAAGTATATACTAAAGCAAGTACAGTTAAATGATAATGGTAGAATCTAGGTGGTGGGTATATGGATATCTACTGTAAAATTCTTTCAATTTTGCTGTATATTTGAAAATTTTCATCATAAAACATTGCGAAAGTGGGCCGGGC